GAAGTGCAAGGAAAAAAAAAACCCTGCGGGGTGACTTGCATTTCAGGGTCCTTTGGGAGAAGCCCAGGTGTTTTGATTTCGGGAGGGAGAGAAAGGGAAAGGGATCTAGGTCTGCTTTTATTTAAAACCCTCCAACTCTCCCTTCTGCTCCCACACCACCTTTGGAAAAAAAATCCGACATGAATTTGTTTTTTACATCGTTGGAGAGGAGAGAAAATGTAACTTGTAGCACACCCCAAGCCTTCCTAAGCTCGGTTCCCTTTTGTGATGACTCTCCATTGACACCCCACTGTATTCCTTTTGTTGCAGCATGTAGAAGACCCGGGTATTAACATCCCAGATCAAACTGTAATTAAGAAAGGTAAGCCATTTCCTTTCGCATTCCGAGCATGTCCTCACAAGCTGGGTACTATTGAAGGGAGAACTTGCAAAGCTCCTTCCCCTCCTTCCTTTTTTTTCCCCCAAATATCATTTACTAAAGGCTGCGGACAGAAAATAAAATAGATCAGCCGGGCTTGAACTCAGCCTTCTGTGTAGGAGCAGGTTTTGCAAGAAAGTGCTATCGTCTGATGGAGAAAATCAGATCCAGGGTGGGTTTTTTGTGTGTGTTTTTTTTCGAGTGCGTCCTAATGCAATTCTGCTTTGTGCTTCCACCAATTCGTCTGGCTGTGACATTATTTAATGGCTGGCAAGGGCTCTGCAATAGTACGGAATGGTTTGCCTCCTTTTAATCACGAGGATGAAGGAAAATAAAATGGTAGATGGCTTCGTAGCAAAGGCGTGGAGTTCTTTATAGTGTGATCTCTGGGAAGCTTTGGGTGGGGAGGGGGGAGGTTCCTCAGTGCTTGGAAACCGGTTGCTAATTGTGTCAGATTTAGCTGGTGGTTTCGCTCAGATCTTCCTTCAAATGACCTAAGGATTTTGAAAATCGCGTTCGGGCTAGTTTGCAAAAGGCGGTTCTTGGTGGCGAGGTGGCAAGTGATTGGTTTGCACAGGAGGTGGTGGAGCAGCACTCGCTGGATGGAGGGCTCCGAGCAGTGGCATGCTGGACTTCTCTTGGCAACATTGTGGTGTTTGGGGAGTCTCTGCCCCAGCAGAGCGAGATACTGGAGAAAGCCGTTCTCCCTTCTTAACCCCACTCGCTATACAGTAGGCTAGTTTAAAGTTTCAATTTTTTTTTTCTGTCTGTGAAGCCTTTGTCACGTCAAATTAGATGTGCAAGGGATAAATCTTAAGAGATGCTCTTTCCAAGTCGACATGATAATTGGCTCTTTTATTAGTAATCTCAAGAGTTCGTTTAACTCCTATTGTCTCTATTAGCCTCCCCAGAGCTATTAATGTCACAAGTGATCTATCCAAAACCTAACCCCCCTCCTACCCCTGCCATCGGCTTGGGCTATCCCCACCAAACTAGACATGGGGGGCGGGGAGCCCGGGCGACAAAACAGGGGGAGAGTAAACCTTTTTTAATGCACCCGCGTGGAGCTGGGATGCAACCTACATTGCATGAAAAAAACAGCTGGGCGGATTGCAGTGGTGCTTACATATCTGGTGGGAGCCGCCAGGGCTCCCCGCACTTTTGAGTAGCTCTGAATCAATTCCAACAATAGCCTCCGCTTGACTGCTGGGGCTTGATTATTTTATTTATGTAATATATATATATATATATTGGTTGCTGTGTGTGTGGCTGAGCCCGCGAAGCGGCCGGATTTTTTGTTGTGGGGGGTACCTCTTCCCAAAAAAGGCTCTGCCATTTGCTCATCAGGCTTGCTCTCTGGGTGAGGGCTGCCTCCCTGTGTATTAGCCATTTCTCACGTTCAAACTTCTAGGCTGAAAACATTAGAGCCGGCTGCATTGCACAGCCCCTCTCTCTGCAGATTGATTAGGACCTACATGTACACACCAGTTTAGCATTTAGGGGCTGGATTCAGAGGCAGCTTGCTGGGCTTTCATTAGTATTGCTGTTACTATTAGTACTGTTGTTGTTTGTAGTATTAGTTATATTATTAGTAGCATTGGTATCAGTATTATTGCTGTTATTAGTAGCATTCCTATCAGCATTGTTACTATTGCTACTAAAGCTACGAATAAGTTCCTACTGATACTCATGCTACTATTGATACTAGAACTACTAATATACTCTTATTGATACCGATGTTACGTAACTGATCCGAATGCTACTGCTAATAATACTGTTGGTACAAATGCTACTCTTGTCACTATTTAGCAGTAGCATTACTGTTGTTACCATGGGCACTCGTATTGTTGCTATCATTACCACCATCATCATTGTTATCACTATCATCATTAGTCTGGCCATCATTCCCCTTATGATGAATAATATCAGCGGCAAGAATAAAAATCATCATTGTTGCCATTATGATCGTCATCGTTAGTGGTGTTATTATTATTAGCGTTATTATCATTGTTATTGGTGTCGTTTGCCATTATTATTATTATTATTATTATTATTATTATTATTATTATTCGGGGAGCGAATCCTCTTGTGAATCCCTCCCCCTCCCGCCTTATACCGTGCGGGGCTGGCAGCCGACCCGATTTGCTTTGGGAGCTCGATGGCTCTATCTGTGATTCTTCTTCACAAACAAGGGCGCCGGCGCGCCCGGCTGCTCCTCGATTTCTTGCCCGGGTTTGGCGCGGGGGAGAAAAGGGCGCCTGCTCCGCGCGGATCGTGCGGGGAAGGGGCGGGCGGGCCGGGGCACTAACGCCGCTGCCCCCCCTGCTGCCCCCTTCCCTTCTCCTCCGCAGGCCCCGTGTCCCTGTCCAAGTCTAACGCCAACGCCGTCTCCTCCATCCCCATCAACAAGGACGCGCTGTTCGGCGGGGTGGTGAACCCCAACGAGGTCTTCTGCTCCGTGCCGGGCCGCCTCTCGCTGCTCAGCTCCACCTCCAAGTACAAGGTCACGGTGGCGGAAGTGCAGAGACGCCTCTCCCCGCCCGCGTGCCCCAACGCGTCTCTGCTGGGTGGAGTGCTCCGGAGGTGAGGGCCGGGCGGGGGACGGGGCTCCCAGCGCTGTGACAGCCTGGCCACTGCCACCCCTGCCCACCCCTGCAGCTGAAGCCGGGGCAAGGTGTCCCTGCAGCCAGGGCACCAGGGCTGTGCTGGGATGGGGCCACGGAGGGCACTGGGTTGGCTCTGACCTTGGCAGAGAGGGACCTTTGCTGCAGGGAGTCAACCAGGAGGAAGGGCCCTTTTCCCCCCACACCTCTTCTGCAGGTTTCCCCTGTTTGCAAGCAGATATTACAACAAAGTTTGGGATCTGTATTCAAGGGACATCCTTCCTTCCTAGATTTCATAGACATTAGGGGCGGAAGGGACCTCACCAGATCATCGAGTCCAGCCCCCCTGCCATAGGCAGGAAGTCTGCTGGGGTCCTTCCTTCCTTCCTTCCTTCCTAATATAATTTAATCCAGGCAGTTAAAGTGCACTTGGGTAGGGAAGAAAATCCAAGAGGAATGAATCCCACCACTTGTATTTAAAACCTTTGGGCTCCTCCTGTCTGGGTGTCAGCTAATAGGTGGGTGTTTGGAGAATCCTCTCTTGGCCCGATCCAGCAAAGCTCTGGGAATAGGGGTGTCCCGGGCCTTTGGGGCCAAGGCTGGAGAATGGCTGCTGGAAGGGACTCTCTCTTGAGTTGGAAAGGTGTCAGGAGTTGGGAAACGATGATGTTTTGGGTCACTACTTAGGAGCAGGTTCGGGAGTGTTCCTCTCAGATCTGTGCTTGTTTATGAGTTAAATCAGGGCTCTAGAAAACATGGGAACACAGCACTCCAAACCTTTGACCCACAGGATATCATTTGCAGGTACCAGTTGCCTTCAGTTTTGCCAGGTTTCCTCCTCCTGCCTGTTCCTCACATCCAACTTTCCTTCACCATCAACATTATCTTCTGGTATATTTTGGGGAAGGTTTTAAAGGGCCCTGAAATCTGACCTGGTTCCTATCAGTTTTGTTTCTAAGTGGTTTTGTGTGTGAAACAGGGCGAAATCTAAAAATGGAGGGAGATCTTTGAGAGAGAAACTGGACAAAATAGGATTAAACCTGCCAGCCGGGAGACGTAAAGCTGCTAATGTCACCTTACTCACGTCGCTAGTGGAGGGTAAGTGACTCCAAGATTGGAAAGGCTCCTTCAGAAAAATAAGGGGGGGTGGGGGAGAGGGGTTGCATTTTTTTTGGTTGGTTTTTTTTTCCTCTGTGAATAGAATGCCATTCTCCCCCTGTACTCCTTGTTTGAAGTCTGAAAGGCGTTATTTTCTCTAATCCTTATGGCTGAGGAAAATGTTCATTTTGTAACTTGGTCTTTGTTTTCACCTGAGATGGACTCAAAGACAATCCTGAGCTCTTAGCATTGCATTCTCTAGAAAGTATTTGCATTGGATACATGCTGGATCATATCCCACTGCCTTATTCAGTGCGGCCAGGAATAGATCCAGAGGAATATGCCAGACTTCAAGATGGGGTGGATAAGTGTTATTCATTTGAGTGACAGTTTACAGGAGCCAGCTTAAATTTCCCTAGTTTCTCCATTCCCACACTGAGGACTAAGCAATTTTAATTTTTAAAGAGCTGCAGCTATTTGCAGTTTTGTGTCTTTCCTCCTTAAACAACATAACAGTAAATCATTTAAGTTATTCTGACATCTGCATTGGAGAAATGCGTGACCATTACTTCCTGAATTAATTTGGGAATCCTTGACCTAAGTCATGAATTAAGGGTGTCCTGAAAGCCTCGGAGTTGCATTCCTTTGGTTCTCATTTTCAGAACACATGGTCTCTTTATTATACTTCTTCTCTACTTTACTTTGAGAGGAGGAGGTGAAACTTCTTTTAACACCTTTGGACTTCACATGTTTTCATAAATCAGATGAGGAAAGCTGATAGAGGTGTAGTCATTTTTAAAATAAGGCTTACTTTGCCACAGCTGCTTGCAGAAAAAAAAAAATTGGATCTATCAAAACTATATTTTCATCCCTTTCCTTTAGTTTTGGGTTTGACATCCTTTTTATGTTGGTTTAGATAAATACGTGAAATCTTTCTGAGGATGTTCAGGTTTGCTCATTGGAGGGACGTAGACAGCTTTGTTATTTCTTTGCATTATGTCCTGGGAGAAAGACTTACTTGGAGTGAAAAGCTTTATTAAAAGCTACACTTGATTAGGAAAAAAGTGGTTTAGCTGATCAACTATATCATTTCTGTACTGCCTGAGAAACTGCTATATAAGTCTTTATGTTTCATAAAGGCTTTACAATTGCATCCAACTGTAATTGCATACACTTACAATTGCCACTCTGTTGTAAATAAAAACTGGGCAGAGAAAAAAGAACTTGCAAGCAGTCTGGATTTGGTGGTGGCTCGTATTTGTGATATTTATGAACACAGAAAATGTCTCACTGTGTTCTGTTGTTCATGTAATGGGTTGCAAAGAATTTTCCTTAAAGAAGCAAGATCACCAGATAAAGTGGTAAAGATAGCCTGTCTCTCTCTCTCTCTTTTGTGGATGCTAATATAACAATGGTTTGGGCCCTGAGTCCCCTAGTGATGAGGCAGTTTCTGGAGTACTGTTATTGTTTATGATCCGCTCCATTTTATGGAAACAAGCTCACCGGACTGAGGCTTTGAAGCTCTAATTGGCGCATGCGTTCTTCCGGAGCTGGAGCTAATGGCAGGAAGCCCTGCAGTAAAAACCAACTGGTTCAGGAAATTAAAACCAAAGATTTGAAAATCAACAAAACAGACAGACTCAGTGGAATGACCCTAAAATTCTCATGGTTAATCGTTTGGGGGTGAAGGTATAATTATATGCGATCAAGTTAAATTTTAAACACTTAGCTGTTTAATGCAGTCTATTTAGAAGCTCTCTAGGAGTCATTATGATCAATATTAATCATTGATACACTGTAAAAGAATATGGAGAGAGAGCCAAGGTAAATCTCTGTTTTTCAAACAAATAGTTAACTGATGCCTATAAAGCTGAGCCGTACAGTGTGTCTACACAGGTAGATAGGCCATTCAGCTTCGTTCTGTACCTGCCTGGCTCCAGATTGAAACTTTCAAATGCATAGGGGTGATTTCACTTTAAACTGTTTTCTTGGACACATGCATTTTGCCTTGACCTAGATCAGAGCAAAGAAAACTCCTAACAGGAGAAGATGTGTCATTAGCATTCTGTGCAGTGTGCATTGGAAAAGGAAGTCTAAGTACAAAATAGCTTTTGCTAATCTATTTTGCCCCCTGCGCTATGTATATTGATTAGCGGTGTGTTTTCCCCCCCTCCCCCCTCCTTTCCAGGAGAAGCAGTACATCTAGCTAGAGATTTTGGGTACGTTTGTGAGACAGAATTTCCTGCCAAAGCAGTAGCTGAATTTCTCAACCGACAACATTCCGATCCAAACGAGCAAGTCACAAGAAAAAACATGCTTCTAGCTACAAAGTAAGACATTTACCTTGCTGGTGCCTTTGCTGACTTGGAGAGAACATCACACTGTTGGGGGCAGAGGGGTGGGGAGACCATTTTGGTTTGTTTGCTTGCCACTTAGGCAGTGCTTATGAATGATTTTGCAAAATCGTGCAAAATCATTGCATGTGCATGGGCAGCCTGGGGAACAGGGGGGAGACTGCATAACCGGCTGTATTTCCTAAAGAGAGTTTACATGCAGCTTTTCTTGCAAGTCGTTGTGAAACTGTGGGTGGGTGTTTATTTAAAGAAGGAAGAGAGTACCCTAAAGGGAAACGTTTGCTGGAGCTTTTTAGCTGAGCATATCCATTGCAATACTAAGAGGTTTCCTATTGACAGTAAAATAAAAGTGGCACATTAAAACCGATTTCAATGCATTCAGATCCTCTGTGGTCCCTTCCTCTTAAGCACCTCCTAAGTTACTGGGTGGCTAGAGGGACATTACAAATCTATGTCCAGCGACAATCTGCCCGCTGTTAAAACGCCAGCGGAGGTTGTCATTGGTGGGGCTGCCTAGACTTCCAGGTGGTGCGTGAAAAGAAAATGATGGTTTTGCTCTGGTTGCTGGAAATTAAAAGGCTTGTTTAGTGGCCCTTAATTACCAATGGGGATGTCACCAAAGGGCAGGGTGCCAGAGGGCCCAGGCAGAGGATGGGAGCCAGGCTAAGGCTGGAAGACATTAGCAGAGGGCTGAAGCTGCAAACTGCTTCAGCACAGCCTCGGGGCTCTGCTTCAAGGGGCAGCCTCTCTCTCCCTCTTTTTTTTTTTTTGTTGTTTTCCCAGCCATTTGTGCAGCGCCTCTGGTATCCAGTGTGACCTCTGCACCCTGCCCTGGGACCTCCCTTCCCTCTAGGGAAGCTGCCAGCCTCGGGCTAGTGCCAGCCTGGCCAGTGTGGGAAAGTGCCATCCCCCTTCCCTCTGCCTGAAGAAGGGTGGCTGTGCCCAAAAGCTTGCAATTAAAGACATTTTTTTTGTGTGCAAAAAATCTAATTGGTTTAATACAAGATATCACCTCTTCTCATTCCCCCCTTCCCCACATTCAGCTTGCCCCTCTGCTTTGCCCAAACGGGAGGGGGGGAATATCAAGCCCTTCTCTTGCCCCCCAGAGCTCCTGCGGGTAAAGATGCTGGGGGTGGGGGCAGGCCTGTGGCACTTGCGGGGCGCAGCTTGGGGGGAGGGTGGCTGGGAGGCGGTGTGTGTTTGTGCCACAGCAAGATCTGCAAAGAGTTCACCGACCTGCTGGCTCAGGACCGATCTCCCCTGGGGAACTCGCGGCCCAACCCCATCCTGGAGCCGGGCATCCAGAGCTGCCTGACCCACTTCAACCTCATCTCGCACGGCTTCGGCAGCCCGGCCGTGTGCGCGGCCGTCACCGCCCTGCAGAACTATCTCACCGAGGCGCTCAAGGCCATGGACAAAATGTACCTCAGCAACAACCCCAACAGCCACACGGACAGCAGCACCAAAAGCGGCGACAAAGAGGAGAAGCACCGAAAGTGAGGATCCAGCCCCTCCTCTTCCTCCTCCCCCTCCCCGCAGCCAGCATCCAGCCAGGCAACTCCTGCCTCCCCTCCCCCGTGCCCTCCTGCCCGGCCTGCTCTCCTGACTCCGCAGGACTGCTCTGCCCTCCCCCTCCCGGCACCATCCTCCCAGGGACTCCCAGGTTTGGAGAGAAGAGATCTGAGGCGGGAGTGGGGGGGGCCCATGGAGCCAGCAGCAACAAAAAAAGTTCTTTGAGCTCCCGAACTTTTTTGTTTCGAAATAAGAAACGCAAAAAAGCAGCAAAAGGACCTTTTTTTAAAAAAAAAATAAATAAAAAAAAATAGATGAAATGAAAGCAACAAAAAATAATCACGCTAAAAAAAAAAAATCTATGAGCTTCATCGGACTGCAAGCACCACCTCCCTTGACACAAACTTCTGGTAAGATTGTAGCCATATGACAAGACAGAAGTGACACACAAAAAAGCATACAACCCCCAGCGCCCCCTCTGTCCCCAAGCCCCTTCCCCAACAGAAGCCACAGCAAAAGCGAGGCAAAAAGGACTGATGATCTTTTATCAGTATTGTGAATAAACTTGAACACAAAACACAGAGCAGTTCCATGTCTTCAGTTTTAGAACTCTTTCCTGTCCAAGGTAAAGCGACCAACTTGAACTTTCTAATTGCAACACGATTCACGGCTCTTCTATAAGGGAATCAGTGTTCATTGTATGTATATATTTATTTATGTGTAATTTAATGGGAATTGTAAATATGGTGAGTCTGTTTTAAGCCTTTTTTTATTTATCTGGTGATCTCGTTTACCTCTTGTTTAGTGGGTTTTAAATCTTCCCCTCTTAGTTCATCATGTGGTTCATGGTACTTATTTAGATATCAGAGGTTTTTTGGGGGGGTTTTCTCTGGGATTCATCATTTTTAGCCCTCTTGTAGCATGTTAAAGGCGACAATGAAGCAGCTGAACAAATTTCAAACAAACATGAATTTTTATATATAATTAGTACTGACATTTAGTTTCTCATTGAAAAAGAAAAAAAAAAAGAAAAAAATCAGTGATGTTGGACCCCTGGCAAGATTTTTTTTTTAAAGAAAAGAAAGAAAACATGTTGGTGGTTTTCCAACCCTTATGTGCTGTGGCAAAAAGAAAAAAAATATTTTCATCCATTGTCCTCCTTCTGGAAGCACCATCAGAGCAATAAATTAATATTGTCTTTTAGATCAAGGTTTAGTTTTTCTTTCTTTCTATTTTTTTTTAATCCTTTTTTTTGTTTCAAAGAACTTCAAACATTTGGGACCACCTGGTATCCTGTATTTCCACTGGCCATATTGGAAGCAGTTATAGTTGTATTGTATTGAGTTGTGCTGGCAGTAGTTTCCATGCCTGTCAATGTATCATAGTCCTTTGTTGCCCAGATAAATAAATATTTGATACGCTTTATGTCGATTTTTTTATTCAGTGGCTGTCTTTACCCAGGCGTATTTTTGTTCTTGGCAGTATTTTTTATTCAGTATGGTTACAGTAATTGAGTTTAACTCTCCCTTGACAATTGCTCCTTGCAATAAGCAGCTGAACCCATTGTTTCCCTCAAGTATAATAAAAACTTACTTTCAACTTGGAGTTCAGAGCAGGGTATCATTTAGATATTCCACTGAGTCTGTATTCAGACAAATGACACAATAAAACACAATGTATTCTTTTGGATAAAAAATTGTCTGTACTACTAAAGAAATGACACACTATCTTTTCTTTATCCAAAACATAATTTTATTTAAAAAATAAAGTTTTATTTTATTTATGTTGACCTCTAGATTTTCATTTGTATTGAAGTAGATATGCGCTGTACAAAATTTTTATCTGTACATGTAAATTTGTACAGTTTAGTAGCATTAATGGAGGGGAAAAATGAGAGAGATGTTATAATCTGTCTCAAGAAGATTATCTGAAAAGCTAAAATAGTCATTTGGTACCAAATACAAGCCAGAAATTTGTGATGGGGGAACATTGTTCTACTGATAAAATGTGGACTAGAAAACAGAAAACCTCAGTATCCAGGCAGCAAAATCACCTCAAGATTTCTGGGCTGTGGTGAAATCTAGAGGAAGATGAATTATTTTAAATTTATGGCCAGGTTTTGTGACAGGTTGACTTCTGCAGGGGTGCCTTATTTATGTAGGAGAAAGAGAGCTGCAATCTTTAATCTTTACCCCTCCCTTGCTTTTGAAAGAAATTTGCTAAAAACTTTTTTTAAAAATGAAAGCCTAATTAAACTGTATTGGAGACCTATTTTAATAAAACACCATGTGACCCCCCCCCCCCAACTCTTTTTCAGTTCATTGTCTTTGGTCCAAACAAGAGGTGGAGTCAGTGTCTCTTGAACTATATTATGTTAAGGAGAAGGATTGCAAACGTGGCTTGAAATGTAAAGGTGTTTTTATTATTGAGGCTGTGCTTTCTAAGTGCTGTTGATGGTTTGGTGTGTGTCTGTCTGCATGTGTGTGCTTCTCAGGCAGAAATTGAGGAGGTTACTAGTGCGGTGTTTACAATGAATCTGCAAGGAGAATTAACATTTGCTCCTACAGTTTGACGTTTGGTAGGGTTGGTGAAGCAAAGCATTAGATAAAACCCAAGATGTTTCATTTTGCTTTGGTAATCTGTTTAGGGAAGGCAGTGTAAAATCAATCTTGCCCAGCAGAAAGAGAGGTGGTGGAGTCTAAATTCTATTTTCCAAAGCCAGGCAGTTTATAAAGAGTGTTTTTTTTTTTTTAATACAAAATTGAAAACTGGATCTTCAGCATGCAAAGCTGCGATTGTTTCTAAAACAGTTATTTATTATTTCCGAGAGAGACTGGTTAACTGTAAAGTAGATGTAACAAAATAATGAGGTGAATGAACCCTAACTGTACATATTCTTGACATAAATGAAATGCACAGTATTGTAGCAGGTGAAGTGAAGCATTGTCTATCTGGGCTGTTTTTCTTGGCTGCATCTCAGATTGTGTGTGGGATCCTCACCTCGGGCACAATAGCATTCATAAACAGCAATACGTTGCTGCTCTTTCTACAGCACCACATAAATACTCATTTCTAAACGAAAACAATCTTATTAAATACCATTCATTCATATCTGGATTTACACAAGCTTGTTACTTTTTGAAACCTGTGCCCAATATAATCATTTTATGCTGGGCAATGCATAAAGAAGTCTTATGCTAGAACATTATAAGGTCATAATAAATAACGTTTGAAAAATATAATTAGCCACTTGATTCCGGGAGTGGAGTATTTTAAATATCTTTATGCTGCCCTGACTTCCCCTAACACCCACCAGAAAGCGGAGGTGAAATGCATTCGCATAGATCTTTTTATTATTATATCCAAAGAAGGATTTTACAGGCGATAATGGAAATTATACTAGCTTCACTTTGGCCTCTTCTACTGTGACCAACATGCTGTTATTAAAACGTGCTAATTACTTGCGCATTCTCTGGATGTATTTTTAACGTTGTAATCAATGTTCAGCAGTAAAATTCTAGGGCATGCTTTATATACTAACAAATGTATATATATATTTTTTCCCATATCAGCTGTGAGCAGGAGGAATGGGTGAATGTTAACGACTTGTAGACCCTTCCTGCCACGCTGTGATAATGGCTACAGTTTTTAGAAATGTAGCACAATGCTCTTTCCAGCCGGCATCCTCAGCGCCCTCCTCCTGAAATCTGAATATACCCCACCCCTCCAAAAATCGAATATGAATAGAATTTGAGATATTACTGGTGGAGCAACCGTGCCCCGCAGCTGAAATAATATTTAAAATAGAAGGGATTTGACATTTGAGAAGTCAGTGGCTTGAAATACCCAGTTGTACTTAGCTAATTCAGTCCTTAACCTCTGGTTTCAAATAAATCAATTACAGTCGATTCCACTTCAGTTCAGAAGTGCACGAGGTTTTTAGTTAATTGAATACATTTTAGTCACTGGCTAGGAATATTCATTTATCACGATCCTTAAATTTCAAGGAGATTTCGGTGTGGCCCCTGATCAACTGGATGGCAGGAGCCAATCGACTGCTTGCTTATATTCTGTTTCAAAAAAAAAAAAAAAAAAAGAAGAAAAAAAAAAAGGGCCATCATATACATGTTCCTCCCCCTGCCAGAATCTAGTATTATGCAGATTCTTAGCATCTATATCTATATTGATATCTATGTGTGTGTGTGTATACATACACATATACATACAGATAGATGCACACGCATACATATACATACATATATATAAGTGCGTGTGTGCAATGTTTTTACAAACAAAGTGGAAGGGAAGTAGCACAGGCTGGCCAGGTAAAGGGTGCTGTGAAGCTCAGACTAGTGGACAGGGCCAAGTGACAAAGCAGGTGACAGATCCAACCCGACTGAAGAGAAATGTTAGTGGTGCAACACAGACAGTGTCTGCCTCTCTCGGCTGAGCTGGCTGCCACTGACCCAGGGGCTCTTGTTTTGCGATTGGCAAGTGGTAACTCTTGAGAGGAGGGTAGAACACGACGGGTTTCCTCCTGGAGAAGAGGGAGTTGGTCCCCTAAGCAGCGAGCTATGGGCAGAGGCGGTGTCTGCAGCATCCTGCTGGCAGTGGGTTGCTGTTTTGGAAGGGAAAGGGGTTAATTAGCGTCATTATCAATCACTAATGCTTGCCTAACGTGTCCAAAGACTAATCAAGTTAGGGGCCTGCACGGAGCAAGCAGCTGCTTCATCCCAGTTAAAGATTTGAGCCTCTCTCGCTCAGTGATTGGAAGTCCACGCGAGTCTCCGGCGGTGGCAGGGCTATAAACCAGGGTCAGATCGTTAGAGATCCCGGGCGGAGGGAGCAGCGCAATATAAATAACAAATGGCTTCATTATTGGAGTTACAGGTGCAAGCCGGGCCGTGAAAATGATCAGGCACCTCTCCAATGTGCGCCGGCCCCTTGTGACCGCGAGGCAGGGCGGGGGGGAGCCGGGAGTCCTTAAACCATCGGTTATGTACTCTGCACTGGCAGTGCCTGGGGCCCTAACCCGAGTCGCCGCGGAGTGTCCTGGTCCCAGGCAGGCGAGCAAGGCTCTCCGGCTCCCCTGATCTGCGAGGGGCAAGTCTCCCCCCTGCCAGCGCACGTGGACTTCGCTGGGGAGGTGAAAGCATCTGGGAGGGGGATTAAGCCCCGATCTGTGCTCCTTGTCTCTGCTTTGATGATCTGTGTCACCAAACGGCTGGGCAGGCAGATAGGTTTTTAAGACCAGGCGACACAAAACCTTGGCTGGGATGATCTAGCTGGGGACCGTCCTGCTTTGAGCAGGGGCTGGGACTAGATGACTCCTGAGGTCCCTTCTAATCCTAATTTTCTATGCCCCTATAGAAAGTAGAGGCTGGTGTTCTCCGGCTGCTTTGCTTTGGCCAGGACCCTCCCCCCCCATGTGGTCACTACTCTGGTGTCCAGCGAAAGGGAACAGCCAGCTAGTGTGATCCAGCAGGGGCAGGGGGCAGGTGCCTTTGGCCTAAGACCCACTGGATCCGATTGCCATCGCCGGCCATGTGTCCCTCTCCCCGCTGCCCCGATTCCGCGGGGCGCTTCAGCAGGTGCGGAGGGCACTGAGTTCAGGGGCGCTGCTCACTGCTAAACGCGCTCCAGCCCCTTGCAGGAGAGAGGTCTCCCATGAACCAAGCGCTCTTTTCTCCCTGTATTTCCTAATCATCATCATAATAAAGAACAAATAAGGGACCCGGATAGTTCTCAGGGACAAATCCAACCAAGCTCATGCGGAGGGGGGCGGGAGTATATTGTAGCAGCTCGAGGGAAATCCTGGGCTTCATAAAGGCAAAACAGAGCATTTGCTAGGGGGAGCTGTGTGCAATCTAGGCACTAGGACCCACTGAAAAAAATCCCACGGTGCCAGCTTTCTCAGGGTGACCCCCCGCGCCCAGATCTTTGTCATCTGCTGGAGAGCCACTTCCAAACGGGGACAAATGTTGCATGCAAGCCAAAGCGCGCTTCTCGCCTCATTGATCCCCGCACCTCTCCTGTGTGAGGGATGGAAAGCAGGTGCAGACCTCCTGAGATCTTAGCCCGGCCGGGCCGGGTTCTGCACCCGTGGGAGGTGCATCTGCAGTGAAACGTAATGGCTTGGAGTTTATATGAAACAGATGACTTCTCCTTTGGCTGGGGGGTTGTGTCATTTTGGAAGATGCTGCTCTTACTTCTGTTCCAGGGGGCAAGACCGAAAGGGCTGCCCTCTCTCCCCGCACACAAAACCCGTTGATCCCTCGGGTGGAGGAGCTGAGCACTGTCCCAGACCAGTGATGTTTAACACAGGGAAACTTTCTTGCAGCTGTTGTGGGGCGGGGAGGGGACCTGCTTTCTCTTTCTTTCCCAAATCCAGGTTTCTGTTTGAACCTGGAGGGGTGCCCTTCT